CTAATGAAGCAGGTAAATGTGAAGTTATCCCTTGCTTAACTAATTAAACACTATACCATGAAGGCTTAGGGGGGGAGATCAATGTTTTCTTGACCTCGCACTAGCTGGAGGTGAGTGGTCAGCTTCACGCCCCGACCGCTTTTTCCCTATGATAAAGAGCCTCCGGTACCCATTGGATAGGTCTGGTGAAACCCAGAGTCGGTCTGGATGACATGGAGAAGAGAAAATTTTTGATCCTACCAGGACACCAACTCCGACCTCTCGGTCGTCCATCCCATAGCCAGTACCTACACCGACTGAGCTATCCCGGCTCCAGTAAGCGAAAACACGAGCATAAATTCCTCCCTAAACTGGTGAATTGCTGTGGTCTCTTTAATGCGAAAGCACTGTTAAGATAAACGGGATAAACAGTTTATATAGGAAGAGACCCAGTACACTGCAAAATAATTTTCTGAGCTTCACTTTTTCATTCATCAGTGGTTCTACAGCCCTTCATAATCTTTTTTACACAAAGGGTAGGAATTCCTGGACGAGTGATCAGCCCGTCGCAAGGCCGCTACCTATATACATGCTAACATAGAATAAACGCACTATATAAATTTTCATGCCTCGAGTGGGGTTCGAACCCACGATCCCAGTGTTCTAGTGAGCGAAGACAGTTCATGCTCTAGACTTCGCAGCCACCGTGATCGGCTTTCCGCTACTTCGGGTATCAAAATTCTAATGAAGTGCTTGTGAGTCAGACAACAGATACACGTTTGTTGAAAATGTGGAGCGAGAAACATGCCATGGAAACCTCAAGTAAGGCGAGGCAAGAATTCTAAGTTATAGACTGAGGATTGCTTTCACACATCGCACTGAAGTAATATACAGACAAAGGAGAAAACTTGCAGTAAAATTTAGTAAACGATAAAACAGAATTACAGAGAACATTGGTTAAACAAACTGTTTAAGGAGCAAACATTCCCTTTTTTATTTTCTCACAAAAGTCGCCTTCAGCAAAAGCCTTCGATGACGTGACAGTTAAATCCCATATATCAAAATACATTTCAATGGCTTATCATGAAGAATTTGAACATTCCGAAAAATATTCAAGCTGCAGTTTCAATGCCTGAACTATAGTAGTAACATTTTGGTTCCAGAATTTTCCATAATTCCTGAAAGCCGGAACAGGCGAGCCAGGGCAGACGGTTATTGTTAGACGTCTCGGCAAACACGTAAAATGTAAATATCCTTTACATTATGACAAACGACTTACTACTGCAGACAATGACACTGACAAAAGACAGACCCGTCCTCTCGTCAGAGAGGGAGCCGCACGAAAACAAGACCGAAACTGTCAAAGAGTAACAAATATCTGGTCATAAGCCCCAGATTGGGCTCGACACCAAGACTGACTGACTGTCAGTCGCAATGTGACTTTGACTTTGGAATGAATCCCGTGTGGAGGCGGGTTCGAATACCTCCACCGTAGCCCTACGAGTCGTAGAAGGCGACGAAAGGAGAACCCAGTGCCTGGGGGTATAACCAGGTCACCATATTCCTGGGGGACATAAATACGGGGACCCCCCTCTAGGTTGGAGGAGTCTCGAATCGGATACCACAATATGGTCATGAGTCCCGTGGGATTGGGACCTGAGAATGACTGCGCTGGCGAAACCAGCAGAAATTGTAAACTACAGATCCACCCTCTCGTCAGAGGGGATGCTATACTCGTATGAGGACTATAACCAGAAGTGTTCAGTTGAACAATAAACCTTATGGCAGTAGGTCTCAAGGGGCTTGTCGCGAAGACTGATTGGCCGTAAACTGCCAGTAGTGAAGTACCTGAGGGAGTCTCTTGAGGCGGCAGTCAACATGATGGAGAAGCGATGTCACAGGGTGTCTTAAAGTGGTTTCTGAAGAGTAGTAACAAGTTGTGTGAATGCACACTAAATCAAGCCATCAATCCAAACCCCGTCTGTGAGTCACGCACATCTTCAAATACATGACAATATTAGGGCAGTCGCACACGTAAACACCGCTGTGCTCTAAAGGTCAAAGGGATAGGGATATACGGAGCTTTTCCTCCAGTTTCCATACGTCTGCATGGTGCAGTGGTTAATCGTGCTCACTGAACATTCTATCTTTTACACAATACAACTGAGAAAGTGTCGTGATACATTTGAGAAGCTGAGAATGGGACTGGGAAACGGACCAGCGGCAGGAGCTTAATCAGCGGTTTAACCATTCTTCAAATACAATGAACAACGCAATTACAGATTTAGTACGGTAGTTGGGGCTCTTACTTTTCCTTCAACTGTGACGTAATAGAGTAGTAGACGTTATGACGTCACAATGTGAAGCCAATCAGCATGCTGAATCGTTGACATACAATGTATGACGCTAGAGGACGTTTTTATCGTTTAGTTTCGCCAGAACTGACGCCATCGACCACGTGACTAGCAGAATCACAGACCAGCTTTTTCGACTGACGGCGCATTGATCGGGCGGTCGACGCTCAGTTTCATTTCTGCGCACGCGTCTTATAATTAAATATGAATATACATACTCCGCAACGCCTTTATATTCGTGTTATTTATGATAAACCACGAGGCAAAACAGTTAATTTCAAAGTTTAGAAATAATTACCTTGGCCACCTTACATTTACTAAGTGACATCTATGTGGGCTGCTGGAAAGTTGGATTACACGAGTTCTATGTTCCCTCCTTCCGAAACAAATTTAAAATTTGATAAAGATGGAAACCACAAGATGCAATTAGTAACTTAAGATAAAGAGCTCAAGCGGTTAGTCACTGGCTTCCCACCGCGGCGGCCCGAATTCGATCCCGGGTCTGGTCTAGTGGGATTTGTGGTGGACAAAGTGGCGCTGGGGCATGTTTTTTCCGAGTTCTTCGGTTTCCCCTGCCAATCTTCATTCCACCAATTGCTCCACAATCACCCTCACCTATCATCTGGGGCTGGAACAATAGGGCACAAGTGGCCGCAGTACCAGGGACTTAGTCCCACCCCACTAGCAATAACAAAATACACGGTTTCCGAGACAACGCATTCATGAAGAGCAGTAGTGGTACCCTGGAGGCGGTGATTTCTATTCGGGTCTCTGGAAGCTTAGTACGCGGTGTTCACAAGAGTGAACTCTGCTTCAATCGTTCGTCACCAATATTCGCGTCCACGTCACTTCCTGCCCCTGCGTTACTCAGTGGCAACATCCGTAACTTCATAAAGCAGCGGTCTGGGTGCATTTAACTTAATCTTCACGGCTTACGTGATGCAAGTGGCATCACAAATTGACGCAAAGGTATCCCTGTAACAGACTCTGAAGGCCCATAGGGTTGTGAGACGTCGAGGCTCCCACATGTTGTCTGGACAATCGGCTCGCAGATGGCGGTAAGGTTCTCAGCCTTACGCGCTGGCGCTGTTAGAGGCTGAGTCGACCCCAGGACCATACTGCGGCTGGAAGGATTAGGTCAATTGAAAAAATCCACCTCATCGGGACTCCAACCCTCGACCTTCCGACGTGTAGCAATAATGTCTCAATCAACTAGCTACCGTGTGTCCCCTAACAAACTGACGTACTAACTGAATCGATTTAATGGATCATTCGACCAGTAATTGAAATGTGAACTGAATATCTGAAGCTAGACAGTTTTCAGAGATGTGCTGCCATGTAGCTTAGTAGATGGCACTTTTCCCAATTACCACTTACATACTTACTCGTGGAGCTGAGACCTTCTGGAGGAGCCGCCAATTCTACAGCTACTCAAGAATTTCCCAGCATTTTGTGGAACCCTAAAGTTCATTACCGTGTTCAAAAGAGCCCTCCACTAGTCCCAATCAATACCATCCCATCCTATCTCTCTAAGATCCATCTTAATATTGTTCACCCACCTACGCCTTGGTCTTCCCAGTGCCCTCTTTCCTTCTGGCTTTCCCACCAATTTCCTATACACATTCCTCGTACCCCAATTCGTGCTATATGCCCTGCCCACCTCATCCACCTTGCCTTGATCATTCTAATTATACTTGGAGAAGAGTACAAGTTATGAAGCTCCTCATTATGCAGTTTTCTCCAACCTCCTGTCACTTCATCTCTCTTCGGTCCAAATATTCTCCTCAACACCCTCAGTCTATGTTCCTCCTTTAATGTCAGAAACCAAGTTTCACACCCTTACAGAACCACAGGCAAAATTATAGTTTTGTTTATTCTGATTTTTATGTTTTAAGACAGCAGACGAGAAGACAAAAGGTTCTGGACTGAATGGTACAGGAGTTCAGTCTCCTCTTAATTTCCTCATGAATCAGGTTTTGATTTGTTATCGTTGTTCCCAAATGTCTGAACTGTGACACATTTCAAAACATCTGTTTCCTCTCTTTATATCAAGATTTTGTCCTGCATTTTGATGACGAGACAGCTGTTTTACTGTTTTCTCAGTGTTTACTTCTAGACCAACCTCTTTACTTGCGTCAATTAAAGTCTGTGTGCTTCTCTTTATGGTATCTACATTATCACCCAGTAGATTCACATCATCGGCATAGACCAGCAGCTGATGTGTCCAATTTAATTTCAGTCCCACCTGGTTTCCTTGGACCTTCCTAATGACATATTCTAAGGCAAAGTTGAAAAGGAATGGAGATAAAGCATCTCCTTGTTTTAGACCATTCTGGATAGGAAATTTATCAGACAAATGTTTACCTTCACGGACTTTACTATACTTTACACTCAAATTATCTACTCTAATTACCATTTTGGTTATAAATATTACTTTAAAGATCTCTGTAGCACAAAAAAGATTTCCGATTCGGTTGCACTATCTACCATCGTGTCATGGTGATGAGGGACAGATATAATTAGATGGTTAACTACATGAGAAGGCTAAGTGTGGTCAGACGAGAGTAACTGTAACCTACATACATTACATACCTTTTCTGTCTTACCTGGAGACTTACAGGCTCACACATAGACAAAACTCTGGAAAAGTTCAGGGCTTTGGCTCACCTTGGAAAAGGAGCGAAGCAAACTTTGGTATTTCCCACTCGTCCCTCTCTGCCAGGCCCAGGAATTTCTGTAAAGCAAAGAGTCACGAAAAATCAGCTCAGACTTTAAGAAGCACACACCGAACAAACTGTTCCCCGCTGTACTTCCGTCTGGTCTTACTTTCTCAAGAGTTGGCTTGTCCCAAATGCAGACCATTCCGGAGAAGAACGAAAAGAATGCTTAACCAATTTACATGACTAACGCAATGGGCTGTCCGAGGAAAATCTGTGCCCCCAGGAAATGGCTGAGAGCATGGGTATGACGTCTGAGAGAAGTGGAGTTCGCACTACTTTCATTGGTCCTTGTTCAGAGTCAGGGAAGCATAAACAGATTGATGGAGATCTATACAGACCTACTCTGCACTGCGTTTCAGCCAATGCTACTTTCTTTAATAATTTAATATGTTTAGTATTAATCCAAAGCGATGACGATTCCACAGAAGTTAGAAGAAAAGTTTCTTATTGCATGATTAGAAGGTCGAAACTGTCAGTGAACACAATGTAACGAAATTGAGGTTATCTCTTAAACCGACAATCGACTTCTCGGCTTACCGGATTGTGTAGATGTGGCTATTTGCACTTTCACGTGGGTAAAAATGTCTCAAAATACGACATAATAAAAATCGAATGCCATATAAATATCTGTCGGCTATCAGACATAGGAATTCATGCCTAAGAAAGTGACGGGCTTTGTCTCAGCTATTCATTGCTATGGACTGGGATCTGATCCACCGCACTGCACGCAGCAGTATGCACCCTGCATTTCAAAAATAATTTTCTTATATTTTGAGTGTGGAATCAGGAACGTTTATCAAATAGGCATGAGCGAACTAAAATTCATGTAAAATCGTGACAAGGCGAGGGAACAGGCAAGGGTGGGTAGCAGAGTCTCTCTCCTCAGTTTACGAATTCACTCGTGGCGCGAGATCTACAGTGGGCCGTTTATCACCACACTGTTAAGCGTGTCCTCGGATTAAGGCTGAGGGGGACAGTCTCCGGGTGTGGGGGGGGGGGCTGAGAGTATGAATGTACTGGATAATCAGTCGCAGACAGCCCGCAACCTTTGCTTCCATCCATTCATGTAACTGTGATTCGAACCCACGGTTCGTGCCTTAGACCGCGCGGCAAGCAGGTGGAGGAGACATTATGGGTGGAAGGGGGTATGTTCACTAATCAGTAGCGGAAAGCAGACAAGATGTGATATTCCCGATTTTGTTTTGGGCGGATGAAAATAACTTCTCATTACATAAATTAGTATGCATGAAGTTCCTTCGTCCGCTCAAGCACTGGGATCGTGGGTTCGAATCCCACTTGAGGCATGGATTCTGCGTTTGTGTTGTTCAGTGTGCAGGTAGCGGCCTTGCGACAGGCTGAACTCCCGTTCAAAGAGTTTTGCCGATTGTGTAAAATATCAATAAACTGAAAAGGCGCCCGAGGTCCGACAAAGGGCTGTACGTTACGAAATGGCAGAAAAAGACTTGGAACTTTCGTGGATTCTTCGATGCGACCTGCAGAATGAGGTTGCTCCCGAACGTGTAGTAACGTGATCTTAAGAACCTAAGGGGAAGAAATTAAATGGAAGTTGGAGAAAATGGAATTATGAGGAGCTTCCTAATTTTAACTCTTCGCGAAATATTATTAGGGTAATAAGATCAAAGGAGATGAGATAGGCGGGGCATGCATCTCGCGTTGCGCAATTGGAATGCGCATGTACAGTTGTGGCCAACAAGCCTTGAGAGAGATGTAGTCTTATACAGCAGGACAACACTGAAATGGTTATAAAAGAATAAATTCGAAAATTTGAACTGCGTTGAATTACTTCAGGACAGAGTTCAGTGGCAAGCTTGACTCTGATCTCTTCAAGATCTATTAATAAGTTAATGATATGATTTATTTGTTTATTAAAAAATTAGTTATAATATTTTGATTTTATTAGGGCAATGATGTGAAAATCACAAGGGACATGCTTTATTTCGTAAGACTAATATGCAGTTTTAGCACAAATTCATTTTAAAATTATTGATGACACATTCAGACTTCTGGGAGTTTAAACAGGAAATGAATTCCGACCTGCAACAGAAAACATGTTATCCCAAGGGATAAATATCACGCGAACGTTTAGGACAATTACAATAGATACTATTACGCGTATGAGTGAATCTCAACTAGGTTTTGGATTGGATATTGAATTTATTGACCGATAGATTCACGACTCGTGACCACATTTTTCAGATCACTGATATACACGTTAAGGTTTTCCTAGCCCCGCAGTCTCATCCATCGTAGTCGCCTGCTAACGGCTCCAACATTGATGTCAGGCCCCTAGATATCTATGGCCAGAGACTTTTTTTTTTCCAACTGAACTCTTGCGGTAATAGTCCTTGTGTAACATCCTGTCTGGCGAGAAAATGGGGTTCGTGTCCTATGAAAATGTTTGGCCTAACATCAAGTGAACATTTCGCACACACACAGCGTATTAATGAAGTCTTCTTTTTTTGCACTATACCCAAGTCCTCTGTCAGTACAGGCTTTACAGAACAGATAATGGCTATCTTACGTATCTTACGTTACAACGGCAGCCTAGTCACTTGAATGGTCGTAAACTTGACCACCGCCAAGTTTAAGCCTCATAAACTGAACTGACTGAACTAACTGACCTAAGTCACAGAAGTCAAGTCACATTGCGACTGACGGTCAGTCAGTAAGTCTTGCTGTCGAGCTCCATCTGGGGCTCATGACCAGACACTTAATACAGTTTGATAGTTGCGGTCTTATTTTTGTGGGGTGCCCTCTCTGAGGAGATGACGGGTCTGTCTTTTGTATACGCTGCTGGCTCTTGCTAGAGAAGTCTTTCTCGGGTCCGAGTCTCTTTGGACTCGCGACCATATTTTACTGTCTCAGATTTGAGACTTCCCTTTTCGTCACCTCCCACGTCTCGCAGGGTCACGATGGAGGTATTCGACCCCGCCTCCACACGCGTGACTCCTGACCTAAGTCTTCATTTCGTTCTGGTTATAACCCCTCGGTACGGACCACCGTAGAAATCATGGATTCCAGCAGTGCCTCTATTGTTGTGTGTTGATTCATTGTTGTGGTGACGTGTTTGTTTGCGATCATTATCTATTAACGGGTCTACCCTCTACAGTATAATAGAACAAATTAGCGTAGATTAGCACGCTGTTTCTGTGACGTCACTAATTTCAAATTGTATACAAGTAGCGTAGGATCACCCAACTTGGGCCAGTCCTCAGCTAGACGATTTCCGAGCGAACTTTTATAAGATGCACATCTCCATAAGGATGCGTGCCACACGCACCCCGCAGTTTGTGTCCTCATGCAGAACTTCATAGCCACTGATGCAACGTGTTTGTATTCAACGATTCAAATTATTTAATTCAAGAAAAACTGAACTAAATAATATACACATTTAATAAAGTTTATCATTATAAACAAGGACAACGCAAATCACAACAGTGTGTTTGCTACTCTCATATTATCCACTGATTGTGTATACTAAACCAGTTGGTACTCTGTTGGGAAGCCGTAACAAATGAATTACTGTTAGGCGAAACTTGTAGCAATTCCAACAGCTCTGAGATCTCATGCAACTTCCTGTACGGTTTCCCGATACCGTACAACCTGACCACCGATATCGCATGGTGGCCAATTAATCCAAGCAGGCAGGCATATCTCATCTGACTCGAAGGGAATTGTAGAAAGTGGGAAGATGTCAGGCTGTTATTAACGAGAAAGACACTTTCGGTTTGCATGAAAGGAGAGGAAATTTCTTGACCAGTTGAGAGGCGAAAATCTTCTTGGAAACGGCTCGGATTCTTGTAGCTACTGAATTAATTTAAAATCATTATACATCCTACTAAAAGTACTCGGATTTTATGAAGTTGATATCTATAATTCATCTTTCGGGGTCCATAGTTTTGTCAGTAACATATCACACACGTAAGTAACTTCATGGAACCGAGGCCGTCTTGAGAAGCCGCTAGGCGCTCGGTCACACAAGAATTTCCCAAAAGTTCATTACTGTGTTCACAAGAGACCTCCAATGGTCCCTATCCTCAGCCAGATCCATCCACTCCATAACATCCCATACTCTCTATGATCCATTTTAGTAACATCCTCCGATATATTTTCTCTCTCTCTTCTTTTTTTAAAGTTTCTTGGGGTGGGGCGAGACTGAGTCTACCTGGTACGTCGGCCACTAACTGGCCTATTGTTCCAGCCCCGGATGGTAGATGGTGACTGTGGAGCAGTCGGTCGAATGAAAATTGGCAAGGGAAACCGAAGTATTCGGAGAAAACCTCCCCTGTGCCACTTGTTCACCAAAAATAATTCTCCTCCCACCTTTGTTTAGGTCTTCTTAGTAGTCTCTTTCCTTCTGGTCTTCTCTACAAAATCTCATGTGTTCCTCTTGTCTCCCATACGTGCTACATGCCCTGTTCATCTCATCCTCCTCGACTTTATCATTCTAATTATACTTGGCGAAGAGTGCAAACTATGAAGCACCTCATTATGCAGTTTTCTCCAACCTCTTGTCACTTCATCTCTCTCCTCAACACCCTGTTCTCAAACATCCTCAGTCTATGTTCCTCCATTAATGTCAGAGACCAAGTTTCACACCCATACAGAACCACAAGCAACATTATAGCCACAATTATAACTCATATATTTGAAATCCTGCCATAGCTTCACCCTTTTGACTCGATACCGCGAGTGGAACAGAAGAACGGAAAGCGCGAGCCACGGGCGTGGTGCTGTAATGTCAAAGTGTGCCGTGTGGGTGTCGAGCGTCCCCTGCTGCCGTGTGGGCGGGAGCACGGGTACTCAGCTTCCCTCGGGGCCATGGATCATATAATGCAGTGTGATGAAGCCAGAAACTGTGTTACGTGTGTCAGCTTACAACTGACAATTCTTATTAAATTCAGTTCACTCTCCGATCCATTCTGAACGCACCTTGGCTCATAAACAACCACAGGATCCATGAAGATCTACAAATGAACGCAGTGCTCAGTGC